TTTGCGATATAGTTTCTTAATCAATCCAAAACTACCATCACACTTGAATTTAGTATGTCCAGGTACCATAAAATTTAATTCGATACTTTCATAATAACCGCAAATTACTAAATATAAGTAAAATCAAATAGTGGTGTTATTTTTATTCTGTCCTCCCGCATTATCGCAAGTAATTTTTAGATGTTTTTCGCCTTTATTCAATCTCTTAATTCCATCGAATACAATGCTCAGCGTACCATTAGGGCCTTTGCCGATAATTTCGTCTTCATCGAGAACGTAATTAATTTGTTCGCGTATTGCTTCATCTTGAATACCAAATAAATGCACTTTACGTGGACTGAGATAATAAATTTTACTTGCCTGTTGATCGGAATGGGGTACGTGAACGTTTTGTGCCCAATCATAACTGTAATGAGCAGTCGCGTCTATACTACAATAATCAGCTTTACCACTTGTTGTAAAATGCTCATCTACTAATTTTCTCTGTTGTTCTGCTAATTTCGTATTTTTGTTGTAATAGTTTCTCTCCAATTTAGCCTTTACTAAATGTTCTTTATACTTTTTTAATAAGTCTCTCGCTTCTTCTTCCTTACGAGCATTATACTGTAGGCCATTTCGGAAATGTTGGCACGTATCACATAAATCCGGTTCGTGGACTCATGATTTGAATATAAGGCGTTAATTGGTGTCATAGCTTGCGGAATGCGTCATATTTTAATAATTTCAATGTGCTATCGTTTTCGAGGCCTGCAATAAAATTACGATAGACCGATTTATAACTCGTTTCGGCTGGTAAGCGATTGAGTAATGCGATTGACGTTTCTACCCGGACTTGGTAATCCATGAATTTCAGCATAATTCTCGAGAAAATTCTTTACGGCAGTAGCAACGGTTATATCAATGGTTATTTTGGTTTTCCATCGCGGCACTCTTTTTACATTACCATGAACACGCGGTATTATGCCATTCGTCGCTAGGTGATTTCTAACGTTTTCGAAGTGAGTGCGACCAATTCCTAGCATATTAAGATACGTTTTCTGACAAAGCGGCGTATTGCGATCTCAATACGCTTATTAGCACGCGTTTTCTTTTTAAGACGTCGACTAGCCGTTATTTCTCCACCATTCATTGCTTTTAGTTGGGCCATTAAAAATATATCTTGTTCGGATCTAGCGAGAGCTTGAAACGCCTCACGTAATTCAGCAAACTTTTCTCTCGGAATCTTTTTTGAGCAACCACAATTGCAACCTATCTCCAAAAAGCGCATGGCTTTTTCATATTCGGTTGAACCACTATATTCGCTATTTTTCATATACGGGTAATCCTATGTATATATTTTATCATTTTCGCGAATAAGAATTTATAAAGCGTTAAGTCGATGCATTAATTAATATTGAGTTGATACGAGATTTTCGAACTATTTTACTGTAGTTTCGTCAAAGCCGGGAATAAATCGCGTTTAATTGAAACCTATATTTACCATTACGGTTCTGTTATAAAAACGACTTTGGCATTCAAGTAAATGGTCTAAGTGAAATTCCAACGAGTTCCAACATGAAAAACTCCCATTCAAAATACACAGGGCTTACAAAATGGAATTCAATAAAGTTTCTTCTAGCAGAATGGGTAAATATAAGATTATCTTTTTTTGCGACCGCATTGTCAGTATTTCAATCAAGCTCTATCACTGAATTTTTACACTTTTGCTAGAAATCCACTAAAGACAATCACATATATATCTGACAGCCACTACATGCAAAGAGACATGAAAAGGATGAACAGACAAAAAGGCTTTAGCGACATTATTGTAACCATGTATCACTGAGTACATCTCCCGCTGAGATGTCTGTGCCAACTGCTGATAAAAGTCTCTGCGAGAAGTTCTCACCGCTCGAATCCAAAATCACATTAGAGCAGTCCACCATGAGCTTACCAACAAGATACACGTCGCAGGCATTAGTGTACGGCTGCGAACCTGTTTCTTCCCCACCAACTCCCGGAGGCCAAGACTGGAGCCTGTAGTTTACAGGTCCGGGCCGGCCAGCATGTTCTAAATCAATTATCATCCAACCTCCTCCCTCCTCCTCCCTCCTTCGCAGCACATTTTCCCAACGAATATCCCGGTGCACATAGCCTCGGGTGTGCAGAGAATTCAAGCCTGTGAGCACTGATTTCATAGCTTCTTTCAACATTTGCAAAGAACGTGGACGCTGATGAAAACCCAGCGGATGGAGTGTAATGGTGTATGTCGTCCCACTGAGTTTTGGCGGCTTCACTTGATGGATTATATGTGTCTCACGCTTGGTCGCTCGGTATATATTTTTCAAGTCCTGCAACATGCATGCCAAGACTTGTTCTGTTTCTATTTCTTGACGAGCTATCTCACATATGCCACAAACTCAGAATGCTTACCCCAATCTTGGAATACTTAAATAGCGTTCCAAAATTCTGGATTTTCTTGTGGACTCCGTCAGGGAGAAATGTAATCTATTTGGTACATGGGATGTAAGGTTACATCCAATATAATCTCTTTCAAATCAGAGCATGCTTCACCATTGATTATTACCTCTGAAGTTGGTCGCATGATACTACCATACAATGGTATAGTAGAAGGAATCCGCTCCTTCAAATGATGGAAGCATCGAAAAATGTTAATGGCAGTCGCCACCACGAGTGCTCGGTGGTGCACCAACCCCAGGTCGAACTTGATACTGAGGATCTCGAGGTTGCCACGTTTGGTAATCGTGTAAAAGCTGTTCGGAGAAGCATGGGTTAGTCATAAACATCTGGCAACAAAGCTAACAGGAATACCTGGAACAACCGAAGATATTTTCCCGCAGCAGCGAATGCAAAAATGTAGTCTAATTCGCCAAAAAATAGTGGGCTCCACTCTGACATTTTAGTGCGAAGTTCACTTTCTGCCTGATTAAACTCTTCGTCGAATCTTTTTTCTTCTCCTTTCAGGATCAATGTAGATTCCATCCAGCACATGAAATCTGGTCTCTTGTTGGCGACAGTTGCAGTTGACTGATCTTTCGAATTGCGGTCGAAACGAAGGTTAATTTCCAGATATCTCGAAAAGCACTGCAATGGGTGTTTGATAAGAGTATCCCATGTTGAAATTCTATTGTTTTCTGTGCCTGACGGTGTAGATGCTTCGATTGCATTATCGAATAAAAGACTTAATTGTGGATAGTCAAGCTCGTTTGTTTCTTCACGCGGGATCACGTAGCCTTTAAGAAACGTTGCGTCACGAGGCAAAAGATGGGATCTCACAGGAATTTCAGCGATAGGTGGCGTCTTGAGAAGCTCCTTAAGCTCCTCGAGAGAGGATGGATAGGCGTCGAAGGCTTGTCCAAGCTTTTTAAAGGTTCGGTCTGCGAGTTCAGGGTAGGGTTAGTACCGCATTATAACAAAAAAAAAGAGCAGATATCGGTCTACGCACGTTCTTCTTCCGCAATTTCTGAGGCTTTTCGTTTCAAACTTGTTCCTAATGTAAAAAAGCATGAATTACAGCCCATATTGCTATGTCTACTCTACCCTATGTACACACTACTCTATGTCCCCAACGCCCGAGTCACAAAGTCGTTAAAATACAAACAATGCCTGATTCATCTAGCCAGTTGGAAAAACAATACCTTGAGACTTCAGAAACCCATTTTTTTCTAATGCTTTTAATACATTCGAAGGAATGCCCAGGTTGTTTAATTCTGTAGCTGTGTATCCTTTACAGTCCCCAAGAACAAAAATGAACTCTGTCTCAAAACTTTTGGCAACCTTGGTCACAGACTCTTCTGAAGCTTGAGGGAATTGTTGTTTGAGGAACTCGGTCACAGTGGTCTGGTCATTCATGATAAATGTTGGTTGTCTTGCAAAGAGCCTGCTGCGCGATACTAACTATAACGCTTAATCAATGACGTATTACTAGGAACTTTCTAGACCTTTTCACAATGTAACTATTGTTCCAGAATGTGACCAATGATAATCAATGCGCAGAAATTCGCGTTTGTCTATAAATGTTCATCCGCGCAGTGTATGATGAACAAACGAACATTTTATTATAAAAACAGCGCTGGTTAAATTCCTTCAAAAATCAACCACAACGCAATAAATATCGTTGAAACAATACATCTTTAAAACAATAAAACAAATCTGTCGACTTCTACCACCAATAACACCTACAAAAATGCTTACGTTCACAAGCGAATTTTTTTTTGGAGTATTTATTGGCTTCATTCTCGGCCTGTTGCTAAATGGCGTAATTTATAATAGCCAACTCCACAACATGGGAATATTAACAAAGACTATGAAGTCCAGAAAGTTACCAAAAACGAAACTATCGACGAACAAAATTTATCTGCCAGATATCGAAACGTTGTGGAACGATTTGAGAAAATTATACGATAAAAGAACCGAATCGGATCTAAAATTTTCATTTAAAAAAATGGCATTTGAAATTTATAAGTTGCTTGGTGAAGGAAAAGCTGTTGCAGCGTCCACAATACGAAATTTTTACCTATGAAGAACAACCCCGCGGAAAAAGACCATCGAGGCAATCCAACGTTGGATCGACGAAGAAAAGGAAAATGTAAACCACTCAGATGGAGACAGTAAAAATAAAGAAATAGATAATAATAGTGATAGTAAAGAGGATAATGAAACTTAAATTTGCACCAGAGTGACCAAAGAATAGGTTATACTCATTAATGGCTTTGGGTCCGAGTATTTTCCTCCCATGCAATCACTCTGGTGCTTTAGTATTATTTATATTTCAAGAGCGCGCATTCAATAATTAAATAATAAATTTTATGCTTGCGAAAGAATTGGATTATTTTTACGTTGTTTGCCTTCTTTAATTACATTGTGTCAAAGTAGTGAACATGGTCAAAGCTCAATAAATGCATTATAACAGTTCTTTATCAACGAGTCAAAAACTATAAGGAATGCTAAACTGCTTTCTCTTACCTGTCTTCTCGTTTTCGTTTCTTTCTTGGTTTATCATAAGTTGTTGTTAAAGTTTGTTTATTAGTTATGATTTTCCTTTCTTCTTGGTAAATTTCATAAGTAATTTTTCTAGATCTGGATACTCCTGGAGAGTTTGGTATTGTTGATTTTAAAAACATAAGGCGCAATTTTTTCTCCTTGTTCTTTTTTTAGAATGCTTCTAATGGTGCTGTAATTCTTGGGTTCCATAGTGGACTTAATGTAAATTAGTTTCATATTAATATTTTTATATATAAAGATAATCCTATATATATTAATCCTGTTATGGTTTATATTCATCACATTCTGGTATGATAAGGTGAGCATTAAAATTAACAAGTCCATGGAGCACCATTATTACTTTTCAAAACGTCATCATTCACCCTGGTTAATTTTACAGCCACATCATAATAAGCCTCTTATTTATGTCACATAGTCAAATGTTCACTTTGTCTGGTTTTGTTGCAGCATGCCCCATATAATAATCATATGTGCTTATAAGTAATTTGTTATTTTCAAGTATTTGGTATTAGTATAATAATAATAAAGGACTTTTTTGGTTCTTGAGTGAATTTCATATGGAGTAGACTGATAAGACCAGACAAATAAATGTTTTATTATCATTATGTGAATCAAAAATGACTAATGTGGCTGAGAAGATACTAATATAGTGGATGACATTTTAACTTTTGCATGAGGGACACAGCTGCAGCTCTGCGAAAATATATAACTAATTTTTATTGTATCTTTAGACAATGTGAAAAAATGTGACTATAAACTTAGTTTTATCAGGAAACCAAACAATTACTACTATTAAGAGTATCTTAAAGAAGAAAAATTGCTCCGTAATGAATATTACTGAAAAATATCAAGAACGAAAGTAAAAACCAACAAATGATTTATTTGTTATTGCAAACCATTATCATATTAGACAAATTATGAGGAGGGCAACCAATCCAAACTTTGGGAGACGGTGAGATGCGATTGCTCACAGTTCAAGTAGTTAAATCAAAATAACAAACTTCATAATTTGTGGAAGAGTTTTAAATCTTTATTCGATATGAAATCTGAACTGAAACCTGATACTTATGTAAAGACAAGGCGTTGCTGCCTCTACACTAAAGAACCTATACCGAAGAAAAGCTATCCATGGAAAAAAAGGAGGGAAATGAAGATGATAAGAGTACTAATAATAATGTATAACATAGATTTCACTAGAGCGACCAGATTATAGAACTCATCAATGGCTTTGGGTCCAGGCATTTCTTCCCATGTAACCGCCACAAATGTGCTGATTATTGTTTGCAATTCACGTTCAAACTCTTTTTTTTGAGAACAAAAAAAATCACTCAGATGCCAGTTACCCAGGTAAGGTAAGTTACGACTCACACTTCCAAAAGCAGAAGCAATCGTCATTTCCATTACGTATCTCGGAGCGAAGTATCACGTGTCTGTGTAAGTAAAACTTATAAACAAGACTGAGATGGGTGGCGCAGAGTCAATACGCGACTCTTCTTTTATCATTATCACTCACTAAATCATAACGCGCGATCCCATGGCAAGAGTGCTGGTCACAGAAGACACTAAGAGTTATGATGAGCTGGCCAAGGCGTTTCATTACAGGCTATGTCTCAAGAGACCTATACATCCTTACATCCACCTCAACATGTGGTATACAATGGACTTGATGCTAGTGAGTGAACTCGGTCTTTACAAAAAAATAGACATGGACAAGGTGGAAGGATACAGTCTTGGTTGTGAAGTGTTGGACATTCGATCTGGGAGTGAGAATAATGACTTTTGCGTTGAGGTACGACCATTGAGTGAGGAGGCCTGTGAATGGAGCGAGCTGACAAATATCCAGTGGCCAGGTATTCATGGAGGCAAAGGAGGACTAGAGTTTAGAGTTGTTCCAAAAAAATTATCTACCAATGACGATTTTTGTGATCCCCAGTGTAATAATTGGCGGTATCTTCACATATTTCCGATTGCAGAGATGGTTAAAAGTGATGGTCATGATAAAAACTTTTTTCAAAGTATAGATCGAATAGAACATTATAAGATTGTACCATTATTAGTGGGACCCATTGAGATTGGACATTGTTATCAACACCATTCGTCCTGTGCGCATCATCAAGAACCGCTGAATGATCTCGGAGATGAAGCCGAGTTTACTGATGATTCTCTATCGAGCTCTTCACCAGATTCTTATTCTTCCAATTCTTCTTCCCCGTCTCCTTTGCCTGATAGTCCTCAGTCAGATAACGACTATTCGGCTCCTCCAACCACAGTGTCTAGACAACACTCTTGGATAACTGATACGTACCTTGTTAACAACTATCGGGCCTTTTCACTCCCATACAAGAAAACTCTCTTGATTCGAGAAGTTTGGGATGGAAGAGTTTCTGGAAAAGTCTGGGATTCAGCGTTTATTGTTTTGCAGTTTATGAAAGAGGGCTTCATGAAGGATCGCTCGTTTTTGTTCGGTAAACGAATCTTAGACTTGTCAACAGGGACGGGATTGATAGGACTGTACCTAGCGTCATTTTGTAGTGTGATGGCTCAGCAGGAGGCTACGACCAAAGCTCCGAAAACTAATATCGTTTTAACAGACCTTCAACAAGCTATAAAGCTGATAAATAAGAATCGGTTGTTGAACAAGTACCTAATTAATGAGGCTAGAGTGTCAACAGAGGTCATCACGCTCGAATGGGGCAAAATCAGCAAAGCAAGGAGACTTGGAACATTTGACATAGTATTGGCGTCTGACGTTGTATACGAACCAGGTAAGAATATTGTGAATTCTAGTGATCGGAATTTATCAAAATTTGCGAGTCACTATACGCATAATTTCCTCCCTTATCTTTGCAATAGAATTGTTTGATGTTTTGATTGGGACTTTGAGTGCGGTTTGTACTCCGAATCATACAAAAATATACCTCGGATACAAGCGACGTGCGTTATCTGCCGAGGAGGAAGGGCAGTTCTTTAAAAAACTAGGCAGGAAATTTAAAGTATCCTTGGTTGGTGGTGCGGATGAGCAAAAAGTTAGGATTTATGAGTTAAGGCGATAAAATTAGAGTGGGTAGACTGTTAGTTTTTTTATATCTTTTCATTTTGTATCAACGCATAAACCAACAAACACAAAAACTTGCTAATACGATTACATCAACAAAATAAAACAAAGATGGTATTTATATGTATGCACACATATACAGTTAATATTAGGGAACAGCTTTATGATCGATTTGATATTATGATCGGTTTGATACAATAATCGTTGTATTTTTCTTCTAGTCTACACACTCTCGCTCACGTTCAAGCAGTCGAACACTCGAGACAGAATACCTCTACAAAATACTTGTGGTCGGTGACCCGGCAACAGGAAAGACAAGTAATACAAGGATAATGCATACCAAGAGTACGATGAGTTCGGAAAAGGTTGCGGAAACAAAAGGTGTCTACAATTCTACCATAATTCCTGTTTGGCCAAACTTCCGCACGGATAAAATACCTGTCATAATCGCAAAGCCCGTATGATAAAACGGGAAGGAAGAGCAAGAGGTAATTCAAAGAAGCTCTGGATGCACTAGTCGTTTACGACATATCACGACCATCAACGTTCGAGTCTGTTACAAACTGGAAGAAGACTTGGATGAAAAGATCGCATTACCTGATGTTTTGGATGGAGACCCCATTCCTGTCGTATTGTTGGCCAACAAGGTAAGAACTGATGATAACTTTTTTTTCGTACGGAAAAGAAAGCATATCGCGAACATGATCATCAAGCGCTCCTTATGACTTGTACGTATCCCCTAACCACCCGACACTTTTTCTTTTAGTGTGATCTTGTGACAGAAGAACATGCCCGTGAAGCAGAATCAGTCTTGAATAAATTTTGCGAGCAGCCCGAAAGAACAAAGGTTTTTTCACTAATAGTTCACTCAGTGGATTCTGCAAATGGTGGGTTGATTGATGGTGTCTTTTTTGAAAAGAGGCTGTGATAATTAGACGTTGTTAGTATTGGCGATTACAATGTGACCAAAGAAAGTTTACACCATTGTCTTTGCATTTCTCCTCTCTCAAGGTCTTACACATCGGCAAATATCGAGGAAGCAGGGATAGCTCTCGCTTCCGAGATTCTTGAACGTCAAAAGCAACGCCGGGGGACGGGTACACCATCTACTAAATATAACAGAAGAGAAGATTATTAGAAGCGGATGTTGTTAAATTGAAAGAAAAAAGGAGGAGGTTTCTATATCAAAATGAAATGGGATCGAGATGCATTATAAGAGAAGAATTTTGAGACGAGGGTGAAAAGAATGGAGTAATCGAAAGCGTGATGCGAGATCGTTCTCTGGCAAGTGACATTCGCCACGTACAAATGACTGCCCAAGCATTGTATAATAATAATGCGAGCAGTTCTTCCTCTTTTATTCATATATATATATATATGTATGTATGTATGTATGTAGAAAGATACAACTTTTTCCACATCTCCCGTCAAAAAAAATGCGGTTTGGACCGTGCATGTAAGGTCCCGAAGACGCTACATGTTAAAGAATTTAACTTGCATTAAAGAAAAGTCGATATTGAATATTTTGATGGATCTGTGTCATTGCAACATTTTGATTTTACTTTGACGGTATACAATGCGTAGCCACTTTATTGTTGATTCACATTATTTTTCAAGCAGAAGTGCATATAAACTTTTGGAACCCGGGATCACATAATCCATGGTACAAATGACTCTGACCCGAGACATTACAAGCTATTTGTAACGACAAAAGTTATGTCACGAGGGCCAGGGCCGAATGACAAATCGATGCTCTAATAACAAGACGCAGTTCTCGTGCGCGGATTTTCTCCATTTTATTATTATTATTATCTCGGAAGAAACTTCAACGATATACTCGTATCAGTGGGAGAGCGAATAGTGATTGGCCTGGAAATTGACTGGGGTGTGTATAACGCAGACTCGCGTAATGTAGGGAGTAGACGCGTTTTGTAAATCGCAATAGCAAGATGATGCTCGCGTTTCGTTAAAAGATCCAAATAACACGTGAATCTGTCGTTATTAAAATGACGAACAAAAAAAGTCGGTTATTGCATGGGGTCATGCGACTCTAGATCGAGCTCCACGCCGGGCGCCGTTGCGCTAGTTTTGTTATGGGCAATGCCTCCGAGTACCTTGTCGACAGACGTCGGCTACCGAGCTCTCTAGTAAAACTAGTTCTCTAGTAACGTTCATGGTAAGATGACTTTGATTACGTTGCTCTGAGTTTGTTGGCTATTAATTCGACCTCTCGAGAGCGCAAAGATTTAATCGAAGCTTGTTTGATTTTACAGACGAAGTTTACAAGAAAGTTTTGACGAAGAACAAATATGATTCATTAATGATCATTTATGTAAGTAGTTTGTTCCGCAGTTTTATATATTGATATTAATATGCGACTTTGATTTTAGTCTGAGCAAATTTTTTGGTTGCGCAGCCTTACAAAGGACTATAAGGCAAAGGCCCTCGAATCATCGGGGCGTCAACATAGCTTGTAGGACATTTGATCACATCAGAGAGAAAGAGAGGTGACAGGCACGTAGATGGGTGTCAGGGACTGTTAATAAAGCACAACTTTAACAAAAAGGTGAAAGCTCCCGAGATCCGGCATCACAAAGGATTCCCCTCTAATACTGACGAAATATTATAATATTTTTAATATTGCCGAAAATTTGATTTTTCTATTGCCCCTTTTTAGTATAGGAGCTTTGTATTTATTTATCTACTAACAATGACTTTAGACGAATCAGTAGAAGTGTAATCTTGACCAGACGCTATCAATTTCTTGTAATGGTCAGTTGAATAACAATTGATTTTTGATCTATTATGGACAAGACAATCAACAGTTTTTTCTGTTGTTTTAGTTACATTTATTCAAGTCTATCCCGAGACTTTTTCTTTTTCTATGCTTATTTCGAATGATGCTTATATAGTTTTGGTATTTTATAAGAAAATGCTTATTAATAGTGCAAATTGTTGTCTAAAAATTAGACCTCTATTTTGTTTCTCATAATATGCATGAATTGATGATATATTATACAAGATGAAGAGGATTTGGAAGAAAATTTGATACTTGTGTTAATTTGTGGAGGGGGTGTTTGTGATTTGTTGATAGAAAAAAAATACGAATATATATCTAAATTTGCTTCACATATCCTCTCTGTGCGTGTGTGTGTATATATGTGTGTATGTATGTGGGTTTGTTTGTGTTTATGTCTGTGTTTTTGTTTATGCTTGTGTGTGTTTTTTGTTTTCGTTTTCGTTATATTTTTTTCTTTTCTATTTATGTGCAAGCCAACTCTATATTTATTTCCGCCCGTATTTATTTCCGCCCATATTTACTTCCGCCCATACCCGCTTCGATAATGTCCTTTTTTAAATGGATTCAATTCCTTGACACTTTTTCTATGCTTCACGTTTGCGCCGGCACACCAAACTCCATTTTCACCAAATGGTTCCATGTCCTCTTCACACGTCCCCATGTCAACAGAGTTTCCTTTTGATTCACCTCGATCACTGTGCCGATATCTTGTTCCTTCAGAAAAGTAAGCTTCGACATCAATATCTAGTAACGCACGAACAAACTCGTACACCATTGTTCGCACCAGCTGATGTCGATGTTGAGAGATGGCGACGGTTGGTGAAGTGATTGGAGAAGATGGAGCAGAAGATGCCGGTGTAGGGACAGAACTTGCTGCATGAGACGAAGAGGGAGACGACTGTCGGCTGAGAAAGCGAAGGAGGAGAAGGATTGCGTTGTCTCTGGCTTCTGGTGAATAGTGGGTTGTTGCCTCGCCTGTATAATGTATAAAATGTTAGCTTATGGAAAAAGAGCGTAATGCACATAATGCACGGCGGTTAAACACGATTATGTAATCTCCATGCGATGAGGCTTACCTATATCTCTTCTCATCATGTCAGCCGTATTACTTCTCATGAATTGGGCAAAGCTAACTTCGAGTAGCGCCAATACAGCTCTCTTTGCATCAGCAAAACAGTGGCGTAAATTTTGCTGACTTTTTATACACGTTATTACTGATTTTCGTACTTTGTCGTCTACATTGACTTCGAATTGTGAGTTTGGCGTAAGGTAGGTTATAAAGATGTGTTGTGCTGTTGCGAATTGTTGGTTGGAACATTGATAGTCGAATGATTCATATTGTTCCACTTCGAGTAAGAAGAACTGTAATACAAACGGACAAGTATTAGTTTGCGTTCTTTTAAATAACCATTTTTGGTCATAATGTCATCTCACACAAGTGATCTATTACTAATAAGGGAATATATGACTGGGTAAATGACTGATTGACAGCTGAATGAGAAATCATAAAGGGGGCTGATGGGGTTGTGCGATAGGGGTGTGATGGGTCGTGTGTGATTGACATACCATATCATAGCACATAGTAATAGTGTATAAGCAACTGTCATTTTTACTTACCAAGTTCTCTGCCGAATATTCTTCCAATAAAGAATACATGAAATAACACAAAGGTATTTTAGAATTTAGCATTGCCTTTAGGCCTTCTTTTTCAATCTCTTTCATACAGATATCGAGAGGTGGTTTCTCTCCAAAGAAACTTTCCAACTTTCTCGTTGACATTTTTGACTTTTGCTTGTATGCGTAATGGTAATCGAACTTTTGCGTGGGTTTACCAATTGACGGTATTGGATTCTCTGAGGATACGGATAATGATCGCTGATGAGCGTGTTGTGATAATGTGCCAATGTCCTCGTCGTTTTCAGAGTCGGGACTTTTTGGAGGACTTGGTAGACTGAGCACAGCCGGAAAATCGCTGATAAATTCGCAAGTGTCTGTTAGTTCTAGTACTTTGTGTTGTCCGTTTGTAAAGTCAGTGGCTAGTATCGGAGTATCTATCATTATTATAGAATTACGACGAGAAGACGGTTGGAGACTTTCTATCGAAACGGCTGATCCACGGCGTTTTGAAATTGGGGTTGGTGTTTTAGCTGCCAGCAGTGTTTTTGTTACGTCATCCTCTAACACGGATGAACGTCTTCGTGTTGTTCGGAATGAGCGAGACATGTTATTGATGATAATTACAGCAATTAATTATTATTATATTGTCAAAATGTAACGAGGAAAAAAAGTTGGGCTTTTTGTGTGTGTTGGTGTTTGAGGAGGGGAAAGAGTCGTGTGCTTGATGGTTATAAGGAGAAATGGAGGTGAAAAAGGGGTCGGTTCTCGGCTATAAACGGTAAATTACTTTGTGATACGGTTACTGTAAGCGGTATGCTTGTAATTTCCTTTAACAAAGACCGAGAACGTTGATGCAATCGTGGATTGTCTGTGTAATGAGGAAACAATATAATTCGATGATTCTAATCCGTTGAGACAATAGCTACAATAAATTATTAATATTTATGTTATACAGTGCATTTAGTGTCTGTCATACACCATATAAATATACGTCAATAGGTAAGTATGTTTATAATACTATAACATATTTAAATATTCTCTGCGTATTACCGATAACACGATTAAACCTTTGATGACTGTAATCGACATGCACGGACAAAAAACCTCAACTGTAACAGAGATGCCGTGAAGCATGGATGTGGGGGAATAACGGAATAACGGAATGAACGACAGCCAACTTGTACGAGAGTTTATTTCATCCACGGCATGGGGATGGGCATGACTGCAGTTGGGATGGGGAATGGTCTGGACCGACCGAACATCCGTACATCTGCCATCAGTACATCTTTGCATCAGTACATCTTACATCATGTTCATTGTAAATGATAGAAATAGTTGCCAAGGGGACGCTTTACTTGTCATTGACGCAGTCTCGCCAATTGACATTCATATATCGTCTCTTCTTTTTCATCATTGTGTAACTAGGGAAGTTACGATGCGTAAACTCAAGCACAATGTGCGATATCATTCGCTTAAGGTATGTCGCCACGTTTGCGGCATCATTGTAAACAATCTATCAGCATGCATTTGTCATTATGCTCAATGCTAAGGGGGGAGGTTTTGTTTCATCCGGCAAATAAAAAACCATGACAATAGTAAATAACAATACATTGCAAGTACAATAGCAGTATAAAAATAAGTGAGAATTGCACAACAGTTGTCGACAGTCGAATTGAATGTCTTGTGTCAGGTTTCAGCGTTAGCATTAATTTAGGGTCTATACATATATACACATTGCCACTATCACAAACAAAGAAACACATCTTATTGCATATTACCCGATTAGATGTTGTGATAAACCAAACAAATATCGATATTTCTAGTCATTTTTATCACTAGAGCAACCAGATTCTCTAATCTCCAAACGTCCTTTAAGGGCCAAATTAATTATTAAAAAGAAAAGAAACGCCCACATGTGATGTGTTGAATAATGATACTTAAAAGGATTAATTTTAAACAACTAAAACTCGAGAGATAAACGTGCGCATCACTCAAAGAGCACAAAGGTCCTCCTTTGTCATTCAATTCCATAAATAGAAATCATACCGGCAAATAAGCAGTCAAAAAAGAGGGAAACTAAGGCTGGTTTAGTTGGGGAAACAAGAGGGTCATGTCAGGAGGGTCATGTCAGGAGGGGGCTTGCGTGTAAGAGAAGCAAGTGATCCATGTCCTCATAAAGCTTCTCGAATAAAGACACTTTGTGGGGCGGGAAATGAAGAGCATTGACTTTCAAAAGGACATGTCATAGTAGTACCATAATGCAAGTAGGTGCATTTGCTTTGTAAGTACCAATTAACAGGGCTTGCATCCTTGCATCCTTGCAATTATATAATACCTTCTAATACCTAATATCAATATTAATATTAATACGTTATCATATGTCACGTGTATACACCTTATCCTTTGTTTCCAGCACCTCCTGCCAATAAAATGTCCATACCAAAGCGCCGTTGTAGTTGTAATGCGCCATATGTCTGTTACACCATCATTCATTTGTGTTATATTAAGTCCTATAAATACCATGTTATTTACGTAATTCTCAACAGTTTGTTCGCGGCAGAAAAAAAAAAAAAAGATGGGGGACATCAAAGAAACGAGTCTATCTTCTACATAGAATGTGTAGAAAGTTATCCATGAAACAAAATATCCGACATTTACTATTTGCTTGATTACTTGCTTGGTTGCGCGTAGATACTAAGCAAGAGTCTCGTTCCTTGCCATGTAAAGTAATTAAATCAAATAAACACACCATTTATCAAGAAAAAAAAAAAGAAGACCTTTATATACAATAATGACAAAATTCGATATATGACGACCTTGGACATTATGTCTAAAACGTTCTTCCAACAAATTCAATATAGCACGACATATTGACGACAGTACGTCTTTCTTTCCATCGATACGCGATAATCTATTGCTATTTGCAAACAGTATAATGTGCGCACCCTAATTAATTCTTCTCCCATTCTTGTTATTATGCACACACACACACACACGCATACACCCCTCATATTTCTTAGATCAAGAGACAAGGCATCGAATTGGTTGTGTTTGTCGCAAGTCACTTTATTCGAAACCCCGCCTTTCTTTTTTTCAAGACTTTCCGATTTTGTTGCGTACAAGGTTACACCTGTCCATATGAAATTTTCAAAATAATCACACATTATCCCCAAAGTTCCTCTAAATTACCCTTGTGTTTCGACAGCCAAGTATTTTCCCTATTCTATAACCTCTTATCGACTTGAAAGACTCCATTTCTTTCAAATTCAACAACACGCAACTCGCTCATTATTTTTACTAATTATATTTAAATAATTAATATTGTTTTTTACCCTATACCAACTTTTCACCCATTCACACATCTTGCTCGCTTTTTCTTCAAATGGATCGACAAAGTATATTGGCAAGTTATGGTATTCCTCTTCCAGTAGTATCCCGTTCGCCGACAGCCGCAAGCGGACGGCGGGTGACAACGGGAAACGGTAATAATCGGACAAGCAAAAGATACTCTGTCACTGCTTTATACTCAATGGCAGCTGAACAAGACGTCGAGGTCGAAGATGATTTGGCTAGAGGTAAAAGTCTTTGAAACAAAGATGGCGAATATCAGAGGGGTACAACAGAGTCCGTATGACCGACAAAAAGAATTGGCGATTCTGATGAGGGATGGCTGTTGTCATTAAACGTTGCGATTCGTTACTGGCATTGACTTACACTCTCTCAACTCTTTTTTTTTTTTCAAATTGACGTTTGTTATAGCACAAAAACGTCTAAGAGAATTAAAAAGTCGAATTTCTGCACAGTCAAAAAAGAATTTTGTACTAGAGCGTGATGTGAGATACTTGGATTCTCGTATCGCTCTCTTGATTCAAAATCGGATGGCTTTAGATGAGGTGTGTATGCTATATATATACCACATCAAGAAACACATTTGACGAGTTCAATTAATCAACTAATTGATGTCGTAAACCGTGTACACGTTCTAACAGACCATCAATTTTTAATTCGGTCTTTCAATTAATCTGCAATGTTTTACTTTACGTTCGACATGCAATCATATCAATATAGAAACAAGAAGTTGAGAGTCATTTAGAAGAGTCAGACCCCCAAGAGGGAAATTTTCTAGATGATCGAAAGATGCAACAATATGGAAATCTTTTCTTTCTTCTTCAAACAGAGCCACGTCACATAGCAACATTGTGTCGTCTAGTCAGTCTGACGGAGATTGATGTCTTACTGCAGACTGTCATGTTTACCTTATACGGAAATCAGTATGAAAGCAGAGAGGAGCATCTGTTGTTAACCATGTTTCAGGTAGACTAACATCAACAATCACAGATGATCGTGTCATATCTTTTATAACATGTGATTCTGTATTTACTCGAAACTCGTTTATTATCAAGTCTGTTCTCGCAGCTCAGTTTGAGACAACCACAGATTTCAATTCTCTCCTCCGCGCAAATACACCAGTCTCTCGCATGATGACTACTTATACTCGTCGCGGACCGGGTCAGAGTTACCAGAAATCCGTCTTATCGGAGCGAATTAACAGTCTGATCGAACATAAAGATTTAAATATGGAGATAGATCCATTGAAAGTATATTTGCAAATGATTCAACAAATAGAAGAGGAAACTGGAAAATTACCCGAGCATTTACCGAGATCAGTTACGGCCGAAGTTGCCGCTGCCAATGCCGAAGTACAAGCAATCATTGCGCCAAGATTGACCATGTTGACGGAGATTGCTAATTCGTTTTTGGCTACCATTATTAATTCTCTCGAGAAAGTTCCTTACGGTATTAGGTGGATATGCAAGCAGATTAGGTCTCTAACAAAGGTACGCGCGGGAATAATCAAACATTTCGGACAAAAAAATTTTATTTTTTTGATAATTCTTTTCCGTAATACTCATACATTAGCTTCTTTATATTCATAGAGAAAATATCCAGATGCTACCGAGTTTATGATATGCTCCATGATAGGAGCGTTCTTTTTTTTACGATTTTTGAATCCAGCTGTTGTTACCCCAGAAGCTTACATGCTAGTCGATAATGTACCAGGAAAGCACCCTAGGCGAACTTTAACTCTGGTGGGCTATTATCATTATTTTTCCAATTTAACGAGTTTCACTACAAGTCATTACTTATACATCATTGTTTGCTTCCATAGATAGCAAAAATGCTTCAGAATCTTGCCAATAAGCCTACATATGCCAAAGAAGCGTATATGAAAATGTTGAATCCGTTTGTTGAAGAGAATAAACGGAGGATTAATAAATTTTTATTGAGCTTGTGCGAAGTGGGAGACTTTTACGAAAGTTTGGAGGTGAGCTATTTGGATCGACGGAATCAATGCAACATTTATCGCAGACTCTATTTCTGATACAAATTATTTTATTCAGATGGATCAGTACATTGCTCTATCAAAGAAAGACCTTGTACTTCATATAACATTGAACGAAATATATAACACACATGATTTATTGCTTCAACATAAAAACGAATTGGTAAATACAATTCGTACATGTTTATTTTTATGTCGATTTGTCTGCAATTCACAAGCGTCCATTCACATTTATAATTCGAAATGCAATTTTCCAGGCAGCATCGGATAAGAGTCATCTCCGCATATTGCTTGATGAGGTTGGTCCCGCCCCACCCCAAGTACCGCGTAAAGAGAACAGGGCAATCGAGTTGCCTTTATTCAGTCGTTGGGAAACTCCTATACAAGGTTTTATTTTTGACTTATGGGCAATGATTCTACGAATGAATTTTACTAAACGACAGTATATTTTCGCACGCTTGTGACATAGATCTTGCAACTGCTCTCATGTCCGACAATAATCTAACCCAAAACGACATTCTTTACATGGAAACCAAATCCATCTTTGTTCAGTTGATCCGCTCGATGCCGCGCGTAGCTGAACGACGGCCAATTGATCTAGCCTACATTGCTGAAACTGCCGCTACCACCAAAGATGCCACGCTCGTTCGCAAAGGTATCAAAGTTAAGGAAATGCTACGAGAACTCGAAGAAGCTCACGTAACTGACAGCAGTGACGGATATAAACTCATGACCGAGGAAGTTGCCCAAGAATTGGCTCATTTGGGTAACTTGCGCGAAATCGTCAACGAGGAGATTAAATCCCTCGAAGCAGTATATAAAACTATATGTGACCATAACAATTATCTAAGGAGTCAGTTGGAACAGTATAAAGCGTATTTACAGAACGTGAGAATACAAACGTCAAAGGATAGTGTTGGGCCAGTGAGCGTTGTGAAAGTGGGTGATAAGGACAATACTCAAAAACAGAAAGCAATAGGGCCATACAAGTTCACGTATATCCAATTGGAGAGGGATGGAATAATTGTCGAAAGCAGTGTTCCTGATTATCGGTATGAAGCTTATTGAGGGAATCACTATATTCGGATTCGCATTTCATCACAAACTCTTTCTCACGGACAGTATTTACTTATCATAATGGTTTTATTTATTGTAGACGGCGAGATATCTACTTTAATATAACGTCACCGGTTCCAGGAACTTTTGTAATCGCCTTACATTACCGAGGACGAGAAGCAGCCATTCTAGAGATGGATCTCAAACTTGATGATCTTTTAGAGAAGGTTAATATTCCCGTGTTTTTACGATGGTATTACGTGATTCTAACTAATACATTAATCGCCTTTATTATACAGCAACAAGATAACGTAGTATCACTAGATCTCGAATACGTCCAGTTTGACGTGAGCAAAATACTCCAGCTTTTGAACAAGACGTTTGCTAAACGAAAGATGTAGTTGTTTGGGCGTTCCAAATTGTGCTATATTTCAATAATTTTGTATGATTTTCATTCTGTTTAATTCTATTCCATGCATTTTTTTGTAAACTTTTTTTAGGCCAACCGTGTCAAATGCCTGGGGCAAATTGTGCCTCTCCCCGTGCGCCGAGTACTCTACTGTTGGGTGAAGAGCGTCGCAAAAGATTGGGACGCGCGTCTAACATGAAAGGTGCGATGCCAGCTTTCCCTCAAGGTGCGATAATAGTGGGATAGTATCGTAAACTTTCCTCTGTGTAGTTTCACCCGCTTCGCTCCCTGGATTGCCCACCAATCATTAATTACTTTCCAAGATGAGTTTAATTGTTCTAATTTATTATTCAGACTTGGCAACCTTATTTATTTGTTGTGCAGATAATGTTATTTATTTTAGTTTATTTTTTGATAAACGCTATACGTTCGAACAGTATGATTGGCGGGAATTCATGGGGGAAGCACAGTTTCCCCCAGGCATGGCAGTGTTCATTATTTATATTGTATATTATTTATATACCTTCTATTGTCACTCCTATTTGACCGCTTCTCTCAACTGTTTTCCATAAAAGTATAATACAGATTTTGGAAAAAGAAAAGTTTCCTGCCAATTTAGTGATTAATGATACGTAAGAATGAGACTCAAAATTAAAAGATTGATAATGATGGAGGGCGACGCCGTACTGCAAGACAAGTGAACGTTTGATTGTATCGAACTGAACATTTTTACACTCTTTGGTGTCGGTCGGATATTACCCATCTAAATAGTCTTGTAAGATTAGTTTCAATCTTGGGTCCTTGTCTCCGATTGCGTATGGTTTGAGAAATTTATAAAGGCTTACTGGTGGGTATCTGCTTGGCACGTCTAGCAAATTGGGTCGTCTCTTATTTGTGAACCAATGAGTTTTGGGAAGAATGGCACAGCTTTGGCTATCTTTTTACTCAAAGTTATTGCAACGTTAAACGGGTCTATACGATTACATGTAATAAAAAATATATATATTTAATATGAACCTATTATTATTTTAAAATCAATCATACCAAAGTTCTCGAGGAACATCCAAGATGGTTCAGCTCTTGTTACAAACTTGCGCATTCTCTCACAGTAGATTCACTTGATGAGAAGCAATAATTACTGCTGCAGACAACGGTTAATTAGTTAACACAAAATACATTGCTATGTGTTGAAAATAACTAATATTATTACATAATCATACATCCGCACTCCATACGTCCCTATGGCCTATGTGACTGCATGTGCAATATTGTAGATACTTCATCTACAATCTCGAACTAAATCGTTCACTAAATTTTTTCGACATCACCCTATGCACATCCTCTTCACTGATCCCTCGTGCTTCCACTGCCGGGTTGTACGCATGGTTCTCCAGAGGAGTCTTCTGATCCTCATTCGATAGTTTCCCTAATCCCTTAGCACGCCTGTAAATAGTCACAACTGCGGCACCACCTAGCCCAATGTTGTGTTGCAGAGCATACTCGATATTGGAAACCTGTCTATCGCCGCACCAGCCGCGCAGTTGCCAGACCTTGGAAATGTTGAATGAAGGCAAGATGTATTATGGATGAGGTCATTCATGTGTTCATAACTACACAAGGGGGGAGTTGGCATACCAGTTCAGTGCATTGTGCTAATCCAGTAGCCCCCAACGGATGTCCCTTGGATATGAGTCCGCCAGAGGGATTGATGACGTATTTCCCACCATATGTGTTATCACCAGTCTCTACTAGTTTATGAGCTTCACCAGGTTTACATAAACCCAGAGCATCATAAGTAATAAGCTAGACAAAGATGGAAATATTTAGTCCCAAATACAACTAAACAGAGACGTCTAATGTAATTTACTATTCACGATCATTCCCCATTAACAATATTGTTCAGTAAATTCACCTCATTAGCAGAGAAACAATCGTGTAATTCCACAACTTTGACATCATCTGGTCCAATTCCTGCACTTTTAAATGCTATATTCGCTGCTCGCCTTGTCATACCGGCCCCGCTCAATTCGATTGCACTCTTCTTACTCAACACGTCAGGTGAATCTGTTGCCATTGCCTGGCTAACTATCTCGATGACTTGTCCGGACAATTTGTTATTCAATACAAAAGATTCGGATGCGACAATGACTGCTCCAGCGCCATCTGACGTAGGACAGCATTGGAGCTTCGTGAGAGGACCATATATGCGTGGAGAAGCTTTTATTTGATCCAGTGTGTAAGCATCACGGAATTGAGAATAGGGATTTGCGACGCTAATGATTTAAAGGGTAGTCATGTTAAATTCGGTTGTGTAGAAAGGATATAGGAACGTGATGTCATAAGATAATATTTTTAACCTATGGCGATGATTCTTCTCTGCAATTCTTGCCATGTGCTCGGGCGTGGCGCCATATTTCTCGCAGTATTCTAGCCCTGCATTTCCAAAGATTTGAGCTGCAAGCGGTGCCCGTGCAATTCCACGCGTCTCGGCCGTCATTGCGAATATCTGATCTATTGTTGCAAAGTAAAAGGCGTTAGAAACTCGGAGGAGAGAGCTCGCCTACAATTACAGTCAGATACAGACCGAGCGGATTTGTGCGGTCTTCAAACATTGATTTAATAGGACCTGTAAGCTACGTGACGTTACTAAATTGTCTGCTCGTAATGAGATTCTATCAAAAGTTGTTGGCATTCACACCAGGTGTCATTTTCTCAAATCCCAAGGCAAGCGCGCAGTCAACGATTCCAGCTTGGACAACTTGCCGTGCCATGAACAATGCTGTTGAACCAGTTGAACAATTGTTATTCACATTACTGTTAGCAGGATTGAAAATTGTGTGGTGAGTATTTATCGTAGAGATTGTTCATCAATTCTCTGACGTACATCACTGGTATTTGAGTCATTCCTAGCTGATACAATGCTCGTTGACCAGAAGCTGAATCACCATAACAATATCCAACAAAAGCCTATGCATGGCGAGTATTGTTAGCCTCGTCGTCGATTAATCAAAGTGTATATGTAATTTTGAACATAAATTCCTACTTGTTGGATTGAATCATATGTTATATTTGCATCAATTAGAGCTTTAGTAGTGGCTTCAAGAACGAGTTCTAAGGGAGGAATTGCTGTTAAAGGCCGTGTCCCATGATTGACCAGTTTCTCTAAACACCACGTACCAGGATAATCGAATTTGTTCTGAGGTTTAAGAAATTGAGTAATTCCGACACCAATTACGTATGCTTTACTAGGCATTTTGGCCTTCGAATAAGACAAAATTATAGAGAGTTGAGTTGTGACTGTCGATCATCTTACAATTTTATTACATTATACTGCAGTGTCTATTATATGAAAGAATTGGGGGGAATATACCGAACCAATTGTTGGGGCGTCTGTAAAGTGTTCTTCCTAATGATGGCGGAGATGCTTTAAACATCTTTTAATCGTTATTATTTTTGAAAACAAGCCAATGAAATGCTGGTAAAAAAGAAAAGGGTCGCGGTTGAGGTCTTTCGTGGAGTGATGGGAAGAGATCGACCAAAGCATGTCGGCGAGATTGAATTAAATAACAATTAATGAAAATGGTAATAAGGACAAGCTATTAAGCAGCAATAAATAAAGTGCCTGTTATATATAAAGAACGAATCTGTAAAGTTTCATGTTTCTCTGACTAATTTTCGTTACACAGTAAAAACTCACTTGTAGCAGCAAAATGGTTCTGTTTTAATAGACTAAATTATTACAATCGTATTCTCGATTACAAAGGTTTTGTATTATGAACGGCGAGTGGGTGCCGTGTCTGAACATATTTATAATATAAATAATTTATATAAACTGTTTCAAGTAACGCGGTTACTAAACCTTTTTCATGGAATCACCAAAACAATGCCACCGCGCCTTCATACCCGTGTCGTTGGTATTTGTCACATTTTCGTAGACTGCTCGGATCTTATAATTAAGTAAGTTATGGCAGCGAAAAAGATCAAATTAAGTATATTAGTAAGGGGTATTCTTCTTTTGGCGGAAAAGTTGACCCTGAGGAATTGACGGCTGAGGGCGTTTCTTCTCTTCCCAAAGCCATCGAAAAATTTAAACAGTAAAAACTGTTTCGCCACTTATGCTGGGGTATTGAATTAAGCAATAAGAGCATATGCAAATATTGGTTTTCGCTGGGCATTGTGTAAATAGTCGATTTGTTATTTACTACAAAATTATTTGATTGGTCAAAAAGTCACTACACGTATTTTTGGTGGACTTTATTTCGATACTGTTATTTTTATGTCCCTTAATGACTAATAAGACATGTTACGGAATAATTACTTATGACGATTTAACAAGCACGACGCGAGTATTCGATTATTATATTATGCTCTGAATTGACGTTTTCATGTAGGTTCTTCGCGATTAATGAGACAAGTAGGTTATTCTTAATCATAACATCGGGGAGCATGAGAGTTGCGATTATAAGACTTGCGTCTAAGCAAAAAAGACATTCGTAGCAGTAAAAATACCGAGTCCTACTATATTCGTTGGAAGGTCGGTATTGCAAGTTATTGTTAACTTGTTTCAAATATTATTTCGTTAATGAGGGGAAGAAATCTTAGCAGAGTATTGGAGCTATGCATGATAGAGGACATGAAGCGAAATGCGGATACCCTTGATGAAAAATCTAATTAGAGCGCTACGATAATATTTATGATATCATATGTAGCGTATTAATTCATAATATTATTGTTAGTATGATAAGATAATAATGAGCACTGCTTGCATAATTTATTTAGCGCTTTAAATGTCGAGTCGTAATTCATACACATTATTGCTCTATCCAAGGCTGTATTAAACTAGCAATGTTTTTGAGCTATTGCCATTACCTCTCTACAATAATTATCTGAACCATTTTTATTGATATCACACAAGATCCGAATACAGGGTTTTACGAACATGTGGGGTATTTCATTACCTTGTATTAATCCCTTGTCATATCTTGAAAATAAAAAACCGATGGAGAATAACGCGGATTCTGCAACGAGCCCTGGTGGATCTGTCAACGTTATTAATAACTTTAAAAGTTGGGAGGAAATCGTTGTAGAATTTCTCGAAAGTGTAAGATTCTATGTTCCTCGTGGGGTGTACGCGCTACAGAATGACTCCTCATGGATACTCTTCTCCGCGTTATAGCTTGGTTTAGACGAAACCGCAAAGGTTTTCCAAGCAGAAATGCTCGTTTTCCCGACGAGTCAGCGACTAAAAGCCTCTGATCATGTCAATTGGTTGCTTCAAGAACTTACGGTGTGTAAATGGAGCTAATAAGACATTCGAGCACTCGTTTAAATGTCCTAAACGCTTTCATTATGAAAAATCCCGTGCCATATTACGCAATCGTTAGGCCTGCATGACTACGGTCGAACTTGACAAAAGCGTCACAGCCTCTAACGATAGGAAGAGGGCTGCAGAGGATGATGTGGGTTTGTATACAGAGTGAGCACTTGAATGTGCCGACATTTTCATGTATGCTAAAAGTTTTAATTTCATATGAGTAGCCGAATTCAATCCCGTCAAACGGCTTCTGAAACTATACCCCAAATCTGTCGAAATAGAATCAACAAAAGCAGAGGTTTGTCGGTGATTATCTTGTTAAGTTAAATTGCGCAAAGACGGAGACTTTGGGAAAGGCCGAACAGGACACGTTTTCGTTTTATAACTGGTTTGAACGTGAATAATTCTTTGTTATGGTCTAAAGCTTGATCAGAAAATTGATATCTTCATGGAACAAAAGAAATCGGAAATAAATAATAGTAATCGCAAGGAATTTCTGAGCAAGGCTGCAAATCCGAATGACCCAGATGGTTTGCATGATCTAATAGTGCATTCAGTAGATATGAGTTTCGAATATCAGCTAACAGTATATTACTTGTTCGTAGATGTCTCATGTGCCCGTTCCGAAGCTGCCGCGATAAACAGAAACATTCAAATGAAGCACGATGTTGTCAATAATGAAGATGGCCCATTGGCGCGTTCGACATTTACAGCATCTACTCGGCAGATTAATGGCAGTAATAGAAATCCTTGCGAATTACAGCGATTGATAGACCTGCCACCTGGAATCGAAGAGCGATTACAGAATATACAAGAACACCTGAACGTGAAGATTGGTATGATCTTGACTTGATTCTTCTGCAGAAATTATATTTTCACCTTTTCTAATTATGCCATTATTTAGTCACGCCAATTCCGTTGAATGTATACGAACGACTAAGAGTAATAGAAGATAAAATCATGTTATTGGAACGAGACTTTCCAACTTGGGCGTCTGAACATTTTAATCAACCAAATCGTGAAGTATGTATTCGCTCATAACCATCAATTGTTCTTCTTGTTTTCTATTACTATATCTATATTCACACCATTCGGTGATAGTCCTCCCAATCATTAGCAACTATAGTTACTCGCAACACCAACAATGACATAATCTCTTCAGTGACATTACCTTCTGGGAGTATGGTCACAACTGCATTTACCTCGCCACAAACCCTCGACGCGCCAATATCCACGAATTCGATTGCATCGGAAAAACCATCGCAACCCGTATCGACAGCAGATACCAACATGCGTCCAATTAAACTAAAAGGACGCGCCAATTCATCGTTAACCAGATCGGTGATGATGCAGTTAGAGCAAATGCGTGTAGTGAAGGAGCAGGAGGAATCAAAGGCAAAAAATGACTCAACGTCTGAGACGATAGATATGCAGGGGAGTCAAACAATTAGTTTAAGAGAGAAAATGGATGAGCAGATGTCTGATATTGAGGTTGCTGGGACTAGTATAACAGATAAACAGAACGAAATTATCTCTATCGAAGGCGATGACATGTAAATAAAGAATGTGTTGGATGCCTATGTCACAAGTTTCCGTATTTTTGATGATGGTTGACGAGAATTTATATCACTTGCTATGTTCTCACGTGACTAAATTATCCCATACATCGACTCGTTGCATAAATAATCAAGCAACGGGAAAATGTCACGTTTGATCAAAAAATTCTGTTGACTTCTGCCACGGCGCGCTCTTATATTTGATGGGGGCGATGCTGCCAGATGTAAAGAAGTCCAACTAGAAAAAATACCAATCAGTCGTAAATGGAACCGGCGTTTTTAGATGCAATGGAAACGTTGGGCCGAAGGGCTGATATACTGAACGCATATATGAATATGGAACTAAGAATACACCTCATGCAAAAAAGACACTGTGTAAATGCATTTGTATGGATTATTTATACGCTTAACGTTATTTATAAGCAGTTTCTAATTTCACGTAGAGAAGAGATTACTTGCACCGATGACGGAGGCGCTGGTTCTGTGGTTAATCTTCGCAAAAGAAGAGAGCGGAGGCCCGCATTCTTGGATCCAAAGTAATCACTTGAACAATAATATCAACATGTGAGCGTTAAGTGCAAACGCCAATGCGTCGAATGTCCAATAAACATACTTTTCTATATCATCACCAACATGTATCGTTTCTTGACAACTCGCTTCACCTAATTCCAAGGCTTTGTCAAATATCTGCTTCGCAGGTTTCTCCATTCCAAACTCGCTACTTACGAGTATGAAATTTAAGAGTGAGCCGAGTCCGAGTGACGATAAGACTTCATCTAGAAAAATATCAACTTGTTAAGATTTACGAAAGTGTGACGTACAATTGTCCGGAGATGAGATACATACGGACTCTCTCATCAGAGTTGCTAACCACTCCAAGTTTAATGCCATGTGCTGCTAATTCAGAGAGAATTTCTTCTGTTTCACTGTAAAGTTCATATCCCTCTGCTGTTCTAAATCTATCGTAGAGATTATCAGAAAGCTTATGGAAGACTTTCGTGAGATCTATTTAGGATCGTTACGTTCAGTAAATGACTGTTTTTTTCACACCAGCTTTAGCCTATTACAAGTTTACCTTGTTCTGAGACGCCGGCATCGATAAAAGTTCGTTTTACGACCTGGTTTAAATAATATTCTATTTTCTATCGTATTGCGTAAAAATGCTATCTTGACAAAAGAATTACATACATTCGCCCACCATGTGCGCGTATTCATTCCTTGTCGAGAACCATAATTGGGATGTTCCGATTTAACAGTGACGAAAGCCTTTTTGAAACTGGGCATTATATTATCCTCTTTAATTGATATTCCATGCCGTAATGCTTCCTTTGCCTGAGATTTAGTTGAAACGGCTTAAACAACATGATTGTCAGTTATGCGATTAGTCTATAACGTTATTTCGTACATATAATCGAGCAATCGATCCGTTAAGAGGTCGGAAAAGTGTCCCAAAAGCATCAAAGGTTATTAGCTTGACCGGTGGTTTCATCAGAATTTGTTATCATTGACGAAGACTGTGTCACTGCGATGGGCATTTCATATACATCGCGACCAAACTAAATGCGTCGAGTGAATTGAACAATCATTGAGCATTTTATTAGAGTATATATTTTTTTGGATAAAATAAGTTAGAGCAGCTCATTATAATGGAAAGTTGACAAGTCCACTTACATCTATTATGGCACGAATGCACAATGCAGTTTTAATTGCGATTTCATATTAATCAATATATTAAAAATTCAATAGAATGTTATTTGAGTGACAAATTTACTGTGATAAAACCTACTAAATCCTTTCTATTGTTCTTTATAACAATACATTATAATTAAAATTAAAAAAACTTGAGATTGTCATCTCCAAAATCCCCAATGAAAGTTATAGGAAATACAATTTACTTTCAAACTATAAAATCGATTTATTAATTTCGCGAATAGTTTCAGGCTGTTCAATTAATTGAAAAAACCTCTCGAGATCTGAGACGCCTAAACGCGTACAGATAAGAAACCTGACGAGTCTAACTTCGTAGATATAGAAATATTATGTGTCTTATTTGTTGTCGACACTTTGTGATGCTAAGGGTACTACGTTTGAGCGATGTTTTTGTTATAGAGGGTCTCGGGTTGCAAAAATTTGATTGAAAAATCTCGTACTTGTAGAAGCGTTTCCATTTCATCATAAACAAGATCGTCTTTTTTACCGAAGACGAAAGTGTAATATATTCCCTCAACTAAATTCATGACATCAAAAATCCAATTTGTATTCTTTCATGAAATGACATGCGAATAACATCATTAAATGTTTCGATAACTCATTTCGCCCACAAATATAACCGCTCTTGACAGTAACTGATAAATGACTGATACGGATTAGTTTATTCTATATACAGTACCTGGCTGAGAAATTCTATTAAAAACAGATGAACCAAAACTCGGAATAAGCGCAGCCTTGTTAGCATAGAATATATCGAAAAGATGAACCACACTATGATCTAACCGGCAGACTTGTAAAGAAGCGATCGTTAATGCTTCCTCAATACCTATGGGGTAAAAAGTTTAAAGTATATACCGATCATTGCTAAGTGTGTTCCAAAACCGTGAAATCGAAGGACGATTTGGTAAATGATCAGTCAACTAGCCGAATGCGATTGTGATTTGGTACGTGTTCGAGGCAAAAATAACGAACTTTAGCATTGATAAAGCAGACCTGTCCAATTACCTACATGGAATTCGCGTTAACAACCTCGTCGCCTTGTAAGGCTTTGACAACTACGCACTAAGATCTGACTTTCCGACACCGATAGTGCCAATAACAGCTACTATGGATCTGTCGCGTTCTTCTCAAGTATGCAAACAATAAGGAACACAAAAACACCATTCTTCTTAAGTATTTGGAGAAGAACCTAAACTGTGATTGTATATCATGTTCTTTTTGAAATAGCTTTCAGCCAATAAGCTTTCCGCCGAACTAAACGCGCACAAGCAAGTCTATCATAATAATTAAATTGACGAACATATTATATAATACAAAAAACTTGACTATATATATAATAACGAGACTTACCATATAACTTTGTTATATCAAAGAAAATTTAATAATACAGTCAGACTCTAAATGCATCACCCTCTAAATGCATAACTCTTCGAAATATAAATACATAAATTTGTCTGGTCCCGAGTTCGGATTATTGCATACAGTGCCCTCCAATAAATGAGTGAGTAACACAAAATTTTGCAAATTATACATCAAGTTCGCGCGCATGTAACGAA